GCAGAAAAAGAATTTTCAGGACATGTCAGTAAGAGACATAAAGGGATTTATTAGGCAGAATTTAAAGTACAGCTAGAAATGGTGGTGTACAGCTGTAATTCCAGCATTCAGAAGGCTGAGGCAGGAAATCATTGTGAGTTCCAGACCAGCTTGAACTACAAAGTGAGCTCAAGACAAACCTGAACTGCATAGCGAGACCCTGTCTCAAAAAGACTAAATAAATAAATAAATGTTTTTATAAAAAACAAAAGAAGAAAACAAAATTCAAAATAAAAGATAAAGGTGACAGTGAGATGGCTCAGTAGAATAAATGCTTGCCTGGCAAGCACAAGGGCCTGAGTTCAATCCCCAGTTCCGCCAAAAAATAAAAAATAAGATTGGGATGTAGCTCTGTGGTAAAACACCCCTGTGTTCAAGCCCCAGTGGGGCGGGGGGAGTGAGATGAGGGGAATCAGGAAAAGGAATTTTATGGTAATCAAGTAAGGAATTTACATAAATGAGCAGGTAAAATCTGATAGGAATGTAAAATAAGATCAAGACTGAAGAGACTGGGGAGATAGCTCAGCAGTCTAAGCTCCTGCCTGGCAAGCCAAGAACCCAAGTTTGATCCCCAGTACCTATGCATGCCCACAATCCCAGAGCTGGGGAGGCTGACACAGAAGGATCACTACAAGCGTGAACTGTGTAGTGAGACCCTGTAACAAATAATTATTTTGGGTTTTGAAGATAGGGTTTCACTATGTAGTTCAGTCTGGCTTCTGAACTCACTGTGTAGTCCAGGCTAGCCTTACATTCCTGGTGCTCATTCTGCCTCAGCCTCCTGAGTACTAGGATTACAGGAATGTGCCACCACACGTGCCTCTGGGACATTTTGTCAGTAAAAATAGTATGGCTTGAAGCCAGGCATGGTGGCACAAGCCTTCCATCCCAGCACTCTGGAATGCTGAGATAGGAACATTATCATTATCAGTTTAGCCCAACCTGGGCAATTTAGTATTTTAATGAGATTTTGTCTCAACATGAAAAAGAAAAAGGCTGGGTATGTAGCTCAGGCTTTGTAGCCCTGTGTTGAGTCCCCACTACTAGGAAAAAACAAAAAACAAAACAAAACACTAAACACTTTTTCTTAGCCTTCAGATAATATTATGAGGGAAGCCTATTCCTCACTAGATAATTTGTAAACTGTGGGTAGTATGAAGCATGAGTGACTTAGCAGTATTTTTCGATGCCAAATAGAAAACATTTTGAAAGCCTGGTGTGGTGGTACACACCCGTAACCCCAGCACCCAGGGGGAGGCTGAGGCAGGAGGCTCATTGCTAGTTGGAGACCAGCTTGGACTACAAAGTGAGCTCAAGGCCAGCCTGAACTGCATAGCGAGACCCTGTCTCAAAAAGACAAACATATTTAATTTTTCATCTTTCAAAAGAAACTCAAACAACATTTTTTGTTGGTTTTTGTTTGTATGTTTGTTATTATTTTCTTTGGCAACTCGCCTTTTTCTTTTCCCCCAACTCTGACTCCTGTGATTTCCTTAAGCAAAAATTAAGATGTCCATATGCGTTCTGTGTCTGTACTCCCGAACCACACCATCTACGTTGTAGATCCCAGATTTTTAGGTATGTTTAGACAATAGTTTCCAGAAAGTTGAATAATTTAACTGATTTCATTAAAATGAACGCATTAGAAACTAGAGACCTCTCCTGGTCTCCACTTTTATTTTGAGACTTAACTTTGAATGTAACCTGAGTTTGATGTGTTTTCACTAATTGTTCCAGTTATCTGTTTGCAACAGTGAAACATCTTGAAACAGATTGTGAAACAGTCTAAAAATAAACAAGTAGTTTATTTTTTAAATTTAATTTTATTTGTGACAGTGTTTCTTTGTAGCTGATCTGATCTAAATTAAACCAAGATTTTGGGGACTTTAAACTACACTGTTTTAAAGCACCTGCAAGCAGGCGCACGGGCCAGGGGCTCAATCCCCAGGCTTGCTATGCCAGCCCTGACCCCGGGGTGCACTGAGACAGTGATTGAGACAGACCTTTGTGGCGCCCACTGATAATCCCAGCACTTGGAGGCTGTAAATAGGAGAATCACTACAAGTCTGATCTAGTAGTGAGACCCTAAACACCCTGTAGACCCTTCCCTAAAAATAATCCAAAATAAAATACATTGTTTAGGGTGAGGAGAGAGCTCAGTAGCATAACTGCCTGCCTGGCAAATGCAAGGTCCTGAGTTCAATCCCTAGTACCAAATTAAATGTAAAATAAAGTGCACAGCTTGATGCCAGATGTGGTTGCGTACTCCTGTGATCCCAGCACTTTGGAGGCTGAGACAGGAAGATCTCTGAGTTTGAGGCCAGCCTGGGCTGCATAGTAAGACCCTATTTGGAAAACAAACAAACAAACAAAAAACATTAAAAAAAAAAACAGCTTGAGAGAAAGAACAAAAACTCTGCTTTGGAAATTGTTTCTGTATTAGCAAGTTTTGTTCATCAAAAACATTTTAAGTTTGTATTTTTTACTTCATTATAGAAAAATGATAGGGGCCAGAGAGATGGCTCAGTAGAATAAGCGCTTCCCTGGCAAGCACAAGAGCCTGAGTTCAATTCCCAGTTCTGCCAAAAAAAAAAAAAAAAAAAAGAAAGAAAGAAAGAAAGAAAAATGTTGGCATCTCCTAATGTCTGTCTTTTGGTTGTGTGTAGGTTTCACAGTCTCCCCTGGAGACCGGTGGAGTCTGGAGGTAGGACGGATGTACGCCATTACGGTAGAGGTGTTTGATAAAAGCAGCACAAAGGTCCACATGTCAGACGTGAGTCTCTTGTATTTCCTTCCCTAGCTGCTTGTGTGGCTAACCTCCCAAGAGGGCCGTCTTTCTGGTTGAAGGCCCTCGTTCTCCCTTTGTTCTAAGAGTTTACCTTCAGACATGAAATTACTAGCTTTTTATTATGATTAACTGGTTCTGTCTTTGAGGAACACTACATAAGAAGTAAAAGATGGATGGAATTATAGAGGGGGTTGAGTGATAGTGATAGCGTGTCGAGGGTGTGCCCCACAGCTCACTCCACAGATTAGCATGGTGTTGCCGTGGGGAAGGAAAAATATGACACTTCATGTAAAGTGCTGTATTCATTCACACTCCACAGGCTCCTTTCTCTTTCTCATTTTCTTTTTCTCTTTTTAATTTTTATTTTTGAGACAGGGTCTTACTATACAATTCAGGCTGGTCTTGAACTCACTTTGTAGCCCAGACTGGCCTCAAATTCTCAGTGATCCTCCTGCCTCAACCTCTTTAGTGCTGGGGTACAGGTGTGCACCACCACACCCAGCTTGCTTGCTTCCTGTCTTGTCTTTCATGTGTTTGTCTTTCTCCTGAAATCTACCAGCCTATAGAATGCCATAAATCATGCTAAAATATACATGAATTCTGACTCTCTATTCCTGATACTTTTCAGTAATGGATCTTTGAAAAACTAGTTATATCTTGCTAACTCAGACCTTCCTTGAGAGAAAGCAAAGGCTTTACCTCACTTCTTTATCCCCTGGCTGTACAACCACAGTCTTATATATGCTTGGGAATTAAGGTGGCTTTAGGGAAAGAACGTATCTTCAAGTCTGTGTTGCTGTTGTGCTAATTTCAGAACCTCAGAATTACGTACAACTTTCCAGCAGAGTATTTTGAAGAGCAACTAACTACTGTGAATGGATCTTACCATGTAGTAAAAGTGCTAAAAGCTGGTGTGGTGGAGATAAATGCATCCCTGACCTGCATTGTTCACCAGGTAGGAATTAAAAGGGTGGTCTTTAGAGTGTAAAAATACTGAAGAAGTCCGGCTAACTTGATTTACAACCAGATATAATATATTTGATGAACAGTCATCTTGGCAGTTTATACTTCTAAAAATTTTCCATTCTTGGGCCGGAGAGATAGCTCAGCAGACTACATTAGGCAAGCTTAGACAAGCACAGGAACCACGGTTGGGTCCCTGGCACCATATGCCGCACAACCCCAGGGTGCGCTGAGCCAGCCAAAGTCCAGGCATAGCTGTAATCCCAGCCCTGGGTAAGCTGATAACAGGAGAATCACTACGAGTTGAGCTGCGTAGTGAGAACCTGCAACAACCAAATACATTTTTTAAAAAATTCCATTCCAAATTGTGTTGTGCTTAATTTGTATTTGTGGTCATTGTACATATCATTTGAAATTCTTTTATATTATTATTTCAAGCACAGCATGGTGATGCATGCCTGTAATCCCAACACTTTAGAGGCTGAGGCAGGAGAATTACTATGAGTTCAAGGCCAGCTTGGGCTACAGAGTAAGTTCAAGGCCAACCTGAACTGCATAGTGAGATATTGTCACCAAAAAAAGAAAAATTTCATATGCATATTTCCTGTAACATTCACCTAAGATTCCTGTTTTTTGTTTTGTTTTGTTTTGTTTTTTCCTGTGGTACAGGAGATCAAACTCAAGACCTTGCACTTGCTAATGCTGGTGCTTATGCTGCTTATGCTGCTGAGCTATATCCTTAGCCTTCTTTTTTTTTTTTTGTACCAGAAATTGAACTCAAGACCTTGTGTTTTCTGGGCCGGCACTGTGCCACTGAGCTATATCCCTGGCTAGAGTCCCTTTTATTCTAAAATTCCAATGGGTTATCTGGGCATGGTGACCTATGCCTATAATCCTATCTGACTTAGGAAGATTATAAATTCAAGACAACCTAAGCAACAAAATGACCTTTGGAGAACCAATCTCAAGATAAAAAAAAAAAATTCAAGGGCTGGGGATGTTGCTTAGTGCAAAGGCTCTGGATTCAATCTCTAAGTAAATATGTGCCTACCAAAGGATTAGTGTGCCATTTTATTCAGCACTGCCCCAAACAATGAGCTTCATTTCCAGTTCTTTACTATTGTCATAACTGAGTATCTTTGTACATTCTTTTCCTTCTTTTGGTTAATTTTCATATGGCAGAAGTGGAGTTACTAGATAAAGATATGAGGAATTAATCTGGTTTTCTTTTCTTTTTCTGTTGTTTTGTTATTGTTGTTGCTCTTCATTTTATTTATTCATTTATTTATTTAGATTGTTTGAAACAGTGTCTCACTATGTGGCTCAGGCTGCCCTTGGACTCACAGTGATCCTCCTGCCTCAGCCTCCTGAGTGCTGGGTTTACAGCCATGTGCCACAATGCCTGGTTTAAAATTTTCTTCTTAATTGGAATTATCCAGCTGGGTGTTTATGGCTCATGACTCTGGACCTTAAGAATTGTTAAGAGGCTCTTGTTCTTTGCTGCCACCATGAAAAGATGCTTTCTGTTTTGTGCTGTTCTGCCTTGGACCCCGCTGAATATGGACTGAAACCTCCAGTAACTGTGAGCTAAATAAACCTTTCCTTCCTTTATTTTTTTTTCTAATTTAATTTTTATTTATTTATTTATTTGTGTGTGTGTGTGTGTATGTGTGGCCAGCTCAGCCCACCAGGGGGCGGGGCTGGCTGGCATGTGG